CAAAACAATACCACCCATTAAAGAGCTTCTCCGTTTCTTAAGTCACTTAAAGTATGTACAAAATCACTAAAATCTAGCTTAATACACTCAGTGGCATCTGCATGTGTCATTACGGAGGTTTAATTAAACATTTCTTTTATTAAATGTATGTACACTTTAATTGTGACTAAAAAACCTTACCATTAAAAAATAATATTTAAAACATTGTACTCCCCAACCACAAATGCTTGCCAAAAATACCAACGTTTCAAGTAGGAAGAACAACATTGTTCAAATAGTTGCGTCTCCCAAATTCTTGACGAGACAGTCCTAAAATACAAATGGCCCGGGAGGCCCTCGTCAACATTCAGCGCGGCTGACGGCCTGACCATCGCTGACAGTCACTGGCGGCACGTGACGCGCATATACGCGTAGTGCGCAAATGTGCGCTCTCTGTGACTGCACTCTGTGTAATTAGACAGTGGGCGGACCTACGCTCACCTAATTACCGAGTGAATTAGCGAACTGAGAGAGTCTTGTCTGCGGCACGCGGAGCTCACAACTGCTCATTCAAATAAGTATTAATACGGTTATTAAAAATGCTTTGAAATATACGTATTTTCAACGTGTAGAAATACATTTAAATAGTGTTCATCACCTGCTGTGTTTGCTGTTGTAACAAAGGTTCTAGTTAAAGCCTAACGCTGATTTAGTTGTTTGAACAACATCGTACAAAGGTGGGCAGCGCTACAATAGTAACTTGATTTGGTAAACAAATTAAAACGTCCTTAGGAATCAATTACTAAAAGAATTCAATTTGATTATAGTCTATTCGCATGTTTAATGTAAAGTATTTTAGTTTACAATACCTAACCATACATCACACAAACAACTACATATATAGGTAACCGTGTATATTGCGGCTATTGCCAAAATCTTCATTTATGATTTTGGATAACACTCACACAAATTTTAGAAATTTAGAGTTCTTAAGTATATATTAACCAAAAAAAATATCCAAAAATGTCTCATTTAATATGAAATATGACTAACGCAACATTTTAGGAACTATTCATGTAGAAACGAAATCAGAGAACGCAGATACTCCTTTTAAAGGTGAAAACCGATATGGTTTTACAAACGCCGACGTTAAAACCGAATTCGTGTATGTATACAATGTAAGGAATGGAATGAGGCTGATAAATAGATGCCTTTAACGTCGGTCTATAGCATAGACTCTTTACGATAAAACCTCTATTCAAAAATGTAAATGTGAACAACTATTTCTTTCGGGGTTTAGCAGAGCTCTGCTAACAGCTCAGTTTGGGTACGTTTAAAGTGCCTCTGTAAACGTGTGCTAAATAATAAATAGAAAAGGTATCTTACTTTTGTTAATAGTAAAGCAAATACATTTAAAACCCCGTCTGCTTATTCCGCTTATATAAATAACAAACAACCGCTCGAAATTGTCTTCGGTTTACTGATACGGTAATGCAAATATAAGTTTGGTTAGTCGATGCAGAAAGCAATATGTACCACTATGGTTCTAAATAATTTTGTATTAAAGCTATTCACAATCATTTTGTTACTTTTAAATATTTTTTGCTATTCACAGCTATCACTTGTTAAGTTGTCATGTTTACGGAGGTGAACTCTTAATTTTTACCCACAACGGCACGAAGAAGGTATATTCGTTTATGGTGAGAGATGTTTGTTTGTTGGTTTGTGTAAACTAATGTTGCCATTTATCTCCAAAACTAATAGTCCGATGTTAGGTAGACGATAGTTTGATGCGGTTTTCAGTAATGGGTCCGTGGTTGATAAGTAATGGTTCTAAGATAGGTGTTACTGTGGTAACTTACTAGGGGGCGCTGCAGTAATTATTTTACATTCGTAAAAATGAGTTTTTGCTCGTTTTTGCGGAGTTGGATCATCCTGTCAGTTTGAAACTTTGCAGTTATATGTGGTTTATATGTCAATACCGTATAGTGCTTCTCAATAGCTCTAATTCTTCCAACACTATGCTTAGCGATCTACATTGTAGAAACGATTACATTCCATTCTATCATTTTGAACGATTGTCAACTTGTCACACTTTTATGTTCTTTTGTTTTGACCACGTGACTTAAAGTTGAGATGAAGTCATTCCTATACATTTGATTAGTTTTCTATAGCGTTTACGTTTGTAGAATGTCAACTTGGCTAAGCCTGCAGAGCGTCGCTGTACCGGCGCAGCTTATGTTATTATTGGATTTAGAGATCATTCATAGAGAGACTCATCACTGATTCAGAACACGAACCAACAACTTATGTGATAACTTAAATCACACTTGCCTTTGTGCGATCTTATCTACAATTATTTAACATCTATTAAGCCGTTTGTTTAGGGGGGAAAGTGATGCACCAGGGACTTCCTTTCTAGGGTATACCTGGTTCCCCGGCTATTAGTACCCGAGACGGCGTGCGGTTTTAGTCGGTTCGAGTACGACAAGCCACCGATAGGTAGTATCCGAGGGGATTTCCGCACGGAAAAAAAAGGGGGGGGGGAAGTGAAACAGACAGAGTTGGTATTATACGAATTGGTATTGTACATTATCTTTCTCAAATTGAATATGGTCTTCTCTAGCGTTCTCTTTATTTTCTCTTCTCTTTTTCTCTATTATAGAGCTGCAGCTGAATGTTTTGAACATCATATCCACTTATCTTTTTGATTCTATTTTCGTTTTTCATTTTATAAGTACCGGGCAAAGTTAAGTTGTAAATATGTGTACATAGTATATTATGACGTGTGTGTGTGTCGTTAAGTATTGAATAACGAAACTGATTTTTAAAGGGGAGACAGTTTAAATCACTGTGAAACTTAAACTGTGTTGTTCATTAAAAACTTAGAAGAATATTAAAACGTTAGAAGCTTTAGGATAAAATCTATACTAATATTATAAAGCTGAAGAGTTTGTTTGTTTGTTTGAACGCGCTAATCTCAGGAACTACTGGTCCGATTTGAAAAATTCTTTCAGTGTTAGATAGCCCATTTATCGTGGAAGGCTATAGGCTATATATCATTACGCTAAGACCAGTAGGAGGCGGAGCACCAATGAAGAATGTTTCAAAAACGGAGAAAATTTATTACTATTGAGAGACGCAGACGAAGTTGCGCGGGTCAGCTAGTGTAAGATATATGTTATTGTGCTTTACATTAGCACCGGTCGAACGGTTAAATGTCAACATAATTATTTGTCTGGTTCACTCATTACGGCGCCGCGAGGTAAGTAAATAGCTCTTTAGTTCTCATTAAGCTATTTGCTTATCGGGCAGCTATTCACTTATGTTTATCTGATGAATTTTGATTAATTAATTAATTAAATTCGTTGCAAAAATGATCTTCTAGTGATGATTCAAAATTATAATCTCAAGATGTCTAAAATAGAACAGTCTAAACACAACATTCTCCTACGACTTGGAGACATCATAATCGCACACTCATCTCGATGGTTTGAGTTCACGTTAGATTGCATCACAAAATTTAGTTATTTAAGTAGGCATCAATTTCGTCTGCCCTCGTTGCTCTTGGTACACACACACACACACAAATGGCAGAGTCTGCTCACAGTGAAGTTCTGTTATAATACTAACCCGACTGTTTACTGGTCTTATATTCCTTAACGCTCCTGCCACCACTGCCGGTAACAGTAAAAGTAAAGTAAAGTAAGTAAGTAAAGTTATTTGTTTGACCGATTTCCAAATGCAAAACAACTAGCCCACTTTCAATTTGTTGATTTAAGTAATGTCATTAATTTTGTAAACAATTAACGCTACATTCAAGAACTTTCTTTGAGAATTTATGTAGTGTTAACACAAAGAAATATATAAGTTAACTAAAACTTTATACAGAGATAAATTGCAATAGCATAGGGATATATCAACCAGGTTTGTACGACACTTTAACGCCATTTACCATACGTTTAACTAACTTCCAATCGTAGGAGGATCTCAATTCTACTCTTTTTTTGCGTTTATTACAAGACATCTTTGTCATTTATGAACCTGTGAAACCTGTGTTTAGGTTTATCGAATTCGGTCATACGTTTAGAAAAAATTACATCAAACAAACAAACAAGATGTAAGAAAGTCGTTTTTTTAATTGTAAGTTTTATACAAAATCACTTATTTTTACTTGTCTACGTAAAAAATAGCAAACTAACGATAATGAAATGATAAAAAATATTCGAGCAATTTTTCAAATTAATTTTAACGGTATCTGTGTATGCTTTACCCCCACCTTTACTTTGAATATAAAATATTCTAAAATTGTTGTATTTTTCCTTCTATTTACTGTGATTTAAAGAAAAATCTATTAAGATGTTTATGGTGCTATAAAACAATGTGACAATAATTATTTTCGGTACCTTTATTTTTGTAATTCTAAAACAGTCTTGCGTAATTTACATTTTTTTGTATATTTAGATGACAAAATGTGTAACACAATAAAGACGGGTCGACACATTACACGTTAATTATTATTTCAAAGACACTACTGAGGCAAAGTATTGCTGCAGCTTTACGAGTTGGTTGGTGGCCAGCTCAGACATTGTCACACGCACTCGAGAACGTGACTGCTTCAAGTTGGTGAAATCGCAGCGAAATGGTCACCAAACTAATTGCGTTGCGTAAACAAAGGGAAACCGTTTAGAATGCTCGCCGACCCGTGCGATTATACCCATACAGGCCTACAGCGCCGCGATCCAATTGACAAACAAGTTCCCGCGCTAACGTTAACGTGTAAAAAGGTCATTTTTTGGTAAGAAACGTGACCTTTAATGAACTCTTAATTCTCGAATTCAAATGTCAAGATATTCAGGGTTGCCCGAATCACGATGGATGGTAGATTACGTAGATTCATCAATCGATTTGACGTAAGGTATATTGTTTCAGTCGGATTTTCATCTAGTTAATTACTGGACACAAAAACACAAATAAACAAGCTCCAAGTTTGTACTAGAGTAGCACCTATTATCAGAGGATTAGCAAGTATTGTCGCGAGACGAACAGACCAGCGAGGCCTGTGACTCGATCGAATCAGTTCGGGACGTGACCTCAACGACCGAATAGGATAACAACACATCATGATTGGAGCCTTTGTTGCCCTTGTCAACATGCACTGCCCTGTAAATATAATGAATATAATCTTACCGACGCCAGTTGACGTAGGTACTTAGACGCTTCTGTATGTTTACGAATAATTTAAAGTATTCCGAAATACACTTTCAGATCAATATTCAGAGAGATAAGAAATTCTTGCGAGAATTAGATGGTGTTTGTAGTACAGAGGAGTTTTCGTTATTCAGAGTCAAGTTAATCAGTAACAGTCCATACTTTTTAAGCGTTTATTCTCTCACAAAACGCAAAAATTAACCAAAAGCCTGTTGCAGCCTGTTGCTCATTCATTCCCTTATCTAAATATTATTTCTTAATTCCCTATTTTGTGTTCCCTAAAGTACAAGAAACGTTTTATTTCGACACGAAGAGAGTTCCAAACTGCGCAATCACTGCTTAGACATTAGGAAAGTCTCTAAGGGTCACGTGCACGATCACATTGCCGTCCGCGCTGATAAAAAAAAACTAAATCAATGAAATAACCGAATCTCTTTTGTGAGTAGGTTGCCTTGCACATTTGATGTGTAGGTTGGTGTTTGTGCTGTGTGAGACAAACGAGGTGAGCAACCGGGTCTAGATCATACTTCTTTAGGACAAGGTGTCCCGAACTTTCTAGATTCGGAAGTCGTTTTTCTATGTAGCCATAAACCAACAAGTGATGCACCAACAATACTTGTGTATTAAATATTTCAACAGTTAGAAATGCTTTCCATACTTGGTTCGTTTGTATTTGTCATTTAAAATAGTGTCCATTCTTATTGGAGTGTAAGCGACTAGTAAACAACTAATAAATATTAATTAGTTACATATTTGTTAATTGACTAAACCAATGCCTTGTATTTTCACCACGTTTTACCAGTATGCAATACCTAATCCAAAGCCATATTACTACACAACGAAGTAATGCTTTAACAATACATCTCTAACAAACAATATTTTATTTTGTACTATACTATACATATAAAAAGTTTATATATATATATACTACTATTAAGAGACATCGCGTTAAAATATCCTATTTTAAAAGAGATACAAAAATCTTTAAAACTAGATGTTAGCTTCAGTAAACTCAGAATTTGTGGAAGGCCTTACAGAGTGCCTTACATATAAATAATCGATTCCCGAGAGGCATTCATACTCGAAGGTGAACAAAAGGACTGGGAAAGACGCATCGCATTTTACAATCATGTACAGTCAGCAGTGACAGCTTTTTAACTCACAACGCGTTATAGTTTTATATAATATTGAACAGGAATAGCAATATTTAAAAAGTTACTGAAATATTATGTTAAAGTGTAGGCCATTTGTAATAAAATAGGGTCAAGTGGAGCGAGTTTTGTGTCGACCGTAAGTACGACCTGAAATAAAACTACCGGTAGTACAGTCCGTAAAAAAATGCCTTTAAACTAATACCACCTGATATGGTGGGGAGTTGGCTTCAACTGTTTAGAATTCTTTATTTTATGGAAGAGGGGGCAGACGAGCAGACGGGTCACCGGATGGAATTTTAGTAGTATTACTAGTATTATTTCCATCCAACCATTTGATTCATCACAATCGATTATTGAAACCAAATACCAAGTCCATTGTCCCGTCACACCATACCCTATAGTCGCCTCGTCGCCTCGTTGCTCACAGCTTCATGTTATTGCCACAAACTAAATATGAACATACCTGTACGTAAAGCATTAAGTTGATACCATTTGCTTGTGTGCGTGCGTAAGTCCTGACTTGTTTACGTGAGCTTGTCTGTCGGCAGATTAAAATGAATAGTGCAGCGGGCCATTGTGCCCTATTTAGTTGATGAATGGTTCGGCGACTCGCAGCGCATGTATAATGTAGAAGGTTCGGTGCCTGTACAACGCTTTTGCTACCCTCGAGCTCATCACTGGGTGGCTGTATTTGAATTAAATGTCAAAAACACAATTCCGGTTATGTAAATCGTAAACGGGTGACTTTGACAATACAGTGAATATGAATTACGGATGCGAACAATTATTAATCAAGACTCATCATAAATCATTTTGTGATAATACTAGCTGAGAAGCTGTCAAAAGGTTTTTATTTTTATTAATTTGATGATATTAAGGGAGATAAATGATTTTGGGACCTTTCTCTGTAGAGAGAATACAAATCAAAATGTTAATGTCACAGAGTCACAAAGGACGTGGTGTACAGCATATTTGACGTGTTCAGTGATTTGTTTTGTTCCCTATACCTATGTGTACCGAGTATTACTTTAAACCTAGTACAATGAAACTATTTCAATATGACGTTAGCGCATGTTCACGACTGCACAGATCTCAGAACAGTTTAAGTACCCAGCACTTACATGACTTTGTAGCGAGGTATTTGAACCACAAGAGAGTGTAGCGTCCGCTCCACGATGGTCTCTGCTACGTGCGCGCTGCGGCACATCGCACTTCCATTACTGGTCCCCCCTGGGGGGCAGCCCTCACCAAAACGCCTCTCGAGTACTCTCGACCGCAAGTCAAATTGCCACATACATATAACATAGCTTCCTTTAAACCTCACCCGTAGTTTTACCGCAAGGATTCCGAGCAATGTACATTACCCAACTATGCGGTAACTAGAGAGGTTAGTGACCCGATAGAAGCGAGGGTACGACTTCCTCCTATTACTGAAACTCGACTCACGATGTACATTGCTCGTTAAGTAATAATAGTGTGTTAGGAGCGATGAATGAGAGCGGCGTTGAACAGTGATGTGAACTGGGGGCCGGTGGAGAGGCCGCATCCGGTGGCGGTTAGTGTTCAAAAACGCCGGCACTTGAAGCAGGAAGAAGGGCGAACCGCAATCGATCGTTCGTAGCGGGAATGTGCGTTTCATCATAACAGCGTGACACTATCTCTTCAGTTTTTGTGTGCTCTAGCTGTACGAGAACAGAACGTCTGGGGAATATACAAACAATGTTTTATGGACTCGTCTAGTATGTAAGAACTCTGAGCTTAAATAAAACAATTTGAAATAAAGTATACATTTGTTCGTTTAAAAGTAAAAGGTGTTTCATAAACCATTCCTAATTCTTTAAATTGTTTTTCAATTTATTTTTTTGCTAGGTAGGGTTGAATCTGGGGGAAGATTATGGCTATTTCATGAAATTAATGATCTTGAATACTGGTGCATGAGCGCCATTTCGATCTCGATGGAGCGCTAAAATTAATTTGGATACCGAATTCTTATTATTACGTATTACTTTAAAACGGCAATTATTAATTTGTTTCCCCAACTTTCCTTGATATCTTCGATAGCAATATGAACCTAAAGTAAACCGAAGCTGTGTTTCTGGTTCGATCGCGACTGTTATTCCCTTTTCGTGACTTCAGCCATCGATTGGAAAACTTAAAAAAGATTCGTTTAAAATATCAAATCAATTCTGAACTGAAAGAGTTCTAACTAGAAACAATCTACCCTTGCTCCAATCCACTCGTACTACGTTATTCTTTCGTATTAATAAAATTAATATTAAATTAAAATAAAAAATAAAATTTTAATTTAAAAAAAGAAATCTATAAAGTAGTGAAAAACGTGTTAAAGACATTTTCAGACTCCACTCTTTAGGACTTATACTAATAACATAAAACCTTTTAAGCGCTTTATATTATTAGCCCGTGGAGTTGGTTCTTAGAGGACACGTTCTGAGCGAAACAAGCGCTCACTAACTAGTTGTTCTGATATAATTTCATCGGGACTCCTCTTTTTACATAGCCAAGCCAAACAAACTGGTGTTATCAATTTATTCATGGCACGTACGTAATGTACGCTATACTTACATCACATACAAATAAATGGTTCTCGAAGTGGAATTTTAATAACTAGCTGCTTGTGCGACCCTCGCACGACTCCACCGATTGATACAAATAGTACCTACATAATATGTACATACATGCTGTGTACGCAGTTTAGGAAATAAACATACCTCACTTTATTGTGCACGAGGAAAATATTATTGTTATAGCTGATTCAGTCATTAACTAAGCGGTTAGTATTGTTGAGGGAACCCGCACTTAATTATTTCAATTAAATGTTTTGCATATCCATATTACACTGTACCTACTTCCGCACATATTCCTCAAACAACAAATAATTTAATATAGAACAATGTCGGTAATCAACTACAGTCGCAATTATGCAAAACCATTAACCAATGTGTCGAAAAAATGGAAGTGGTGTACATACCGCCAGGTGGGCGCGTCGCTCCACCATCACTCGTTACCGTTACCTGCCATTACACGTACGTACACTTCCATGCGGGCTGCCATAAACAGAAATATAATACAAACGGCTAGAAGCGCAATAACAATATTGCTTATCATAAAATCAGTAAACGACGTCCATCGTCGACACCGACCACCATTACCGCGCCGCTGATGTTCCCGTAAGGGAGTGATGTGGCAACACCACCTGCGCACTCTTAAAACTACATTTGCTGTCGACAGCTCATTATGTGCGCTGAAGTGCGGTGGCAATGCACGTTTTTGCGTCATGATTATTGCGGTGTTTTTGCGACCGCATCTGCATTTCACACCGCATGCGATACAAACTAGACACAAGATTGCAATATTCCTGCTTTACGAGTGACAGTAAAAAGTTCTTACATTGTAATGTTTTTTATGTTCGGCGTAGCGTCGTGACGTGATGGCATCCGTCGTACGGACAGAGCTGCGCTCGAATCCTGTTCGTAAGAAGGCGAGAGCTCGTGTTCGATGCTTAGACGAGAAATGTTCTACACAACACACGGATCCACTTAGTGCAAGTTCTCAGTACAAGATACATTATCTACATATAAGACTGCAGGATCCGTCGTGGATCTCTTTCGCATTGTACTGCCAGATAACAGAGACATTAAACGATTGTTTTATGTTTTGCTCCAAATAACGCAACGATACGCAGAAGATATGCAGAATATGTACGAGTAGATTAAGAGCCATTTCACAAAATGATTACGCTCGAGTTTAGGTAAAATACTGCATCATTGTTTATGTGTGCGTAGCTACGCACTCAAACGTAACATAAACAGTGTAACGCGAAAGCTGAGACGGACGAAGCAATCTTGAGCCGTAATGTGATTTTATATGAGATTAATAAAAAGTTCTACATTTTATTTAGTCTAATGAAATTTTTAAGCTAGGTAAATAGAAAAACAAAAAGTTATGGCATGTAAAATAATATAATAACAATTAACATAAAAACAATCACATATTATTGTCGGTTAACAACTAAATGCTCACACTATAGGAATATTTGGCGTAAAGGCATTGATCTTGCCTTTCTTGGGTCTATGATTTCCGGTAGTACGCACTCTTGGTAAAACCGAGTCAATTTGGGTAGCATTTTCTCCTGCCAAAAAACGTCATCTTTCTTTACTCTTACTACTTTCAATCGAAAATCAGGCCCAGTCCATACAGCAAATACACATATGTCTTTTTTCGCTATGTGCAACTGGCCCTGAACCTGGTAGTACCAGTCGTGATTTTTGTTCATCTCGATTTCAGATTGGCTGTTCACTTTGAAACATTTCAGATTTTTAGCTTGCAAAGCGGTATCAGGATCTATTCCAAAAAGTGAGCTTGGACATTTCACTTCCACTAATCCTTCAGTGCACAATCCATCTGGTGTTGCGCCTAAATAAAAATATTCTTCGTCTATAAAAAGACCACATTTATCTATATTAGTATTTTCTTGGACACTGAGTTGTGCCAAAGCCTTTTGTTCACTGTCTCTACCATGTTTTATTGAGATAATGTGGTCTAGGTTATATGAATATAGAACGGATTTTACAAGGGGAGCAGAATTTTGGTTTGCTCGCCTTTTGCAAATTTTACCAAAGAAGGACGCAGTAAGTATACACCTTCTAAGTTCGAGCCACAAAGAGCTTTCAGCCTGTAATACAGTAGCTCTCTCAATTTCATGACGGTTTAACGCTTGTTCTTTTAAATTGTTCAAAAACAGTTGTTTTCCTCGCTCATAATTTGCAACTTCCATATCCGGTCTTTCACATTCTTCTCCATAATGAGCATCTACAGGATTAAAATTAATTTTTTTGCGAGTACTACCTGCACGTGCTATTACTTCTCGAGTATTTTTTGCATGTCTCCTGGTTTCCAACAATTTTAAAGATTTTCCTGGACTAGTGTGACAAATTGACTTATAAAAAGTGTATTGTGGCTTGCCAGTATTAAAAGATACCACTGCGGCATAACACCTTGTAGTGTAGGAGTCTTTTAGCGAAAAATTGACGCGTTTCCCACCTACCATCTTAGCCACAATACTATTGAATTGTTCTGCGCGATTATTGGTGTAGGCATATAAAAGGCTTCGGGAATTATAGGCGAGTTGAGATACGTTCTTTTTAATCTTCAAAAACAGCGTAGGTATTAATGGGACTAGATCAGGCTCTTTTTTTCTCTCATCTGTGCAGTAATAACTATCACAATTTGAATGGTCCCCAAAGATGTGATGTGGGCTATTTAAAATGTCCTTTTGGAGGTTTTCAATTTTACAGGAACTTGAACTGTTGTCTTGTTGTCTCTGTCTAATAGCAGCACGAACAGCAGTACGTAGCCTTTTCATACGGTCCATATTTAAAAGTTTACGCTCGTTCAAAGGAATAGTTGTATCTTTTTGAAGAAGCATATTCTTTCCATTATAATTCCGCAACAAATGGTTTGTACATTCAATTTTTTGAATTGGAATAACCGGATATGGTCGACTCTCCAATATACTTTTGTAGGTACTAGAATCGCCATCCGCAATCAGGATGTTATAAATTAAATTTCTGTCTTTAATGGAATTTTTAAAACCTTCAACTAATATCGCTTGTTCCATGCTGGTTGAAGATCCCGAATGGTTTTTAGTGCATTTGTGGGGTCTTGCTGGCTGGCCTTTTTTGTTTGCTCGGGCGCACATAACACAGTATTTGTTGCGAACCCCAATGTGTAGCACTTTACCACTATTCTCTCCGATTATGGCTGCAACACCAGAGAGGGCTGAATAATTATTTTTATACGAGCGTTTGCCCCAACAGGCATCCGCTTCTACCGGTATCATGGCTATACCCGCATTATTAATATCGCCTCGTGATTTTGCCGCCTCTCTTTCCTGTTTAGCAGCATTTAGCATAGTTTCTTCAGCAGCAGCCTTCCACATGTCAGAAATAGCGTCGTGTTTTTTACTGTATAAACGAAATGGCATTGTTGGCAAATCCATCGAAGCAGTGATCTCATTAAGGTTTGATAGACCAATTCCCGTAATGATTGAACCTGATACCACCCTAGCATTAAGGTCAAGTTTTGCTTCAGTTGTGTTGCTGTCCGAAGTTTTTAGAACAAAGCTAGATCCACACATCGTACACTTAATGTCAAATTTAGATATGAGGCCCACCTGTTTCTCTTTGCATATTTTGAGATAGTTTAATTTGCAGCCGAATTTCTCGCTGTGTTCGCTTATATTTATTAATTGATTCCAAAAGTATTGAAAATCAATTATCCTTCTGCCATCAACTGTATAGTCGTCCTATAAAAAGTAATAATTCATAAATAATCACATTTAAAAAGAAATAAAAAAAAAAATACTGTGTACAAAAATACTTACGATTGACTTATCACTTGTATGGCTAGTACCCGGCACGGCGGCGGTGTCTGATCTAAAGGTGCTATCCTCCTCTAAGCGTTTTAGACGATTTTTCATTCTAAAATGAAAATAAAAGAGCTGTTGATTTTCGGTATTTACAAATAAGTTGTATGTTTAATCAATAAATAATCAGTTACTATGTAAATAAATATTGTAAATAAAAATAAATAGGTATTTACCTCGCTTCTGTTGCTTTCTTTAAGGCTGCAGAATTATCACGTTTCCTTTTTTTAAGACATCGGCATACACAATCCTTGCGCCCCATTGCTAAAACTAATAAAACAAAAATATATATCTATTCTGCAAACAATTAAAATCATACATTATACTTGATAATAAACCAAACTTTACCTTGTGAAAAAAATACAAAGCGAATCAATACTATGTGGTCGCAGTACAATAATAGTTTCACTCTACGAACGCTCGATAATCGGGACGCGGGAAAAAATGACACAGACCCTTCTTCGATGGGCGCTCGCGCCGTACTAAGTGGTATCCACTTGTGTATCGTAATTTATTGTAATTTTGATTGAAGTTTTATCAATATTTTGACAAAGTAAATGCAAGAACTTCCAATATTACTTTAAAAATCGGTTCTCTAATGAACGTAGTTTATTTTGGAATAATTTTATTTTTGTAATTACTGTGTATTTAAACCAAAAATCACGATAAAATTGCAATGTTAACCTCAAAAATTGGCCCACTGGTTTATTTTTTTACTAAATAATGGTAATACAATTTAATGATCTGTTACATTAAAGGACGATTAAAATATATGTCCAATGCGTTATATATTTTTTTTAACTTAATTTATAAGTATTTTTGATTGAAATACGACTCTGAAATCAACTCTGCGGCGGTTTTTCAATAAAATGGTTGTGGGAAATCAATTACTATAGATCAAACAAGTTATTTTTAGTAAATGTGTTACATTAAACGTCAACACGAAACCTTGGCCCATTTTTTGGGCATATTCAATAACTTCTACGTATTACAGACTATGGTAATTTAGGAGCCCAAAATATTAGAAATTCGTGCGAAAACGTGAAATGGCTCTTAACGCCACTGAGACACGTTGATAATAGTGAATTGACTCAAAGTGAACAACAAAAGTTAACACATACAGTATTCCATTTTAAGCTTCCTATACGTCTGTCATGCACGGATGGGTCAATCAGATTGACCCATCCGACTTGATTGACTCAACTATTGATCGGTGAATTAATCTAGTCCCTATCAGAGTTTGTATTGAAATACTTATTTCAGTAATGTAGCTCCCGTCACTCTACTAGCAATGTGATTGAGAAAGTTAAACGAACCCAAATGTTTGTCTTGAGCGCTGCGTAGACAAGTTGTGTAAATTTAGCGCATGGAGCTCAGTACCGAGTACCAAGGTCTCGTTTCTGCCCGAGTTACCAATGAGGAGTGGCGGTGAATCAAAGGACGACCTGATAATTTAAATTCAGTTAATCCGTTAATATTATTAGAAAGGGCCTGAACTGATATCTCGACTGTTCGGTTTGTCCCTTTGAGAAGAGAATTTTTGGACTTTCTTACCATTTTTTTTTTTAATGTCATTATACATTTCAATTTTAATCAAATAGGGATACATGCAGTGAAACGGAAGGAGAATATCGATTCGTTAAGTTTTTATATCAGAGGATTATCTCACAGTTATTTTTTCCCGAAATGATAGGAACTCTGACAATGCTTATGTAATTTTTGTCGGTTGCGTAGTTAAAGGGTAACAAACCAACAATCCCACAATTGAGCCAACGCGTTAGTAAGGATTGGGTTCGGCTACAGCAAACACGACAGTTATGTATATGTGTGAAACAGTATCCTCTGATTACTGCGCCTGAACCCTTTAGCATAATTAAAAGTATTGAAGGCTACGCGATATGCGATGTTGCTTTTATCGTGTTAATTAGCTTTACGCCGTTACATTAACGTGAAGGCTTTTTTGGGCAATCAATTAAGGTATCGGGCACAGTAGGAAGTTTTTTGTAGTTGTAAGGTACCCGATGTCTCTTTCTAGGTATATTCCTAACAACGTGTGTGCAAACTTTTGTGTTGATCTTAATATTTCTTACCTTTTTCATTTTTCACACAACACAAAGGAGAATTGTGAATCCAAGTTTACCCAAATCCTATCAGCGTTTCGCTATTCTGTTTTAGGTAACATAAGGCTGTGGTATCTGATATCCATTCACGTGTCGGCCAGCTGAGCCACAATCTCCCTAAAGATCACTAGCGTAATTTATGAGAACAACTATCGTGTCATCCCCGTCCCACTTAAACGAATGATCCCCGAGGGAGCGGGACAGCGATGTAACCGAGTTATCGTGCGGTCTCGACCGCCTAATAAAGTAAGATAGAGTCTCTTATAAAGTGGATACTGCGGGCGGAGGAAAAACTTGAGTAATATTGTGTGTTTCCTAACAGAGATTACGTTAATAGCTCTCTGTGAAACGTGGCTCACTCTGAGCCGCGGAAAGGGGATCCTCTAGTTTTTAATATGTTTTGTGAAGGAGTTCGAAGAGAGGCTATGTCGCGGTACATCCTGTTTACGTACTGATAACGTTGGTTATCAAGTTCCGCTTTAAGTGTTTTAAAATATTTACGCTTTTCGTTATAGTCGGATGCTGGAGTTAGGAATAGAGACTATAACTCAGTTAAGTAAGTTATAAACAAAGCTTGACAGTGCTCAAAGTTAATTGTAAATGACAAATATATTTTAGTCTGGTTATATTTCAATTAACATATAGAAGATAAGGACCATTTAGAATCTAGTGGTATTCGCCAGATTAAAGACTATTGGACACCAAGAAATGTTATCTAGCCTGAATTACGTAACGGTCCTGCTATGACTTTAATATATATTATACTAGGCCTTTGTTGTCAATCAATGAATGTGCGACTGAAGAAAGGAGTTATTTTCGCTGTAATATATGAGGAGGTAAATTTATGTACTTTCCTAACAAAAGTGTCAAACTGCAGGTGTTCACTTTGTGTGACAGGCATTCTTTGTTTGTTCAAAGAACGACGGATCTGTATAACTGAGAACATCACGATTACTTGGACACTTAACCCCTTTAGAGTAACCTTCTATTGACCACTGCATCATGTGATTTCTGGTACTACCGCTTCTAGTCAGACTTAAAAAAAAAGCCTACTTAACCTAATTTTAGAGGAAGGTAGTAGAAGCTGAACGGCTTATATTCGTATGTATACCTATACTCGTAATACACGCAGTTTGCTTTAATCGATGGAGTGTTTGCCACTATCGTGCACATGATGTTTTATAGTTTAAGAAAGTTTGTATCTTGATCTAACGCGTCGATAAGGCAGTGATAGATAGCGGTACGTGCGTGTCGCTCTTTGGCGGGACACGTAAGTGATAACGAATGGCTACATCGAATATCAACCTAGCCAATAAATCTCAATGGTTTAAGTCCCCACTGCGCCGCAGCCACAGCATATAGAGCCTTATATCGTCGCGTATAGAGTTGAAGCTGAGAATTTATATTCATTTGTTACAATCAGATTCCTATTTCCTCAGAAATCTACAGTTTATTTGTTTTTATATAACCAACGCAGTGACTTAATAGCAATATATTGCTATTAAAATGGTAAAAAGCAAAGTTGAACTTAAACTTGTTATTTCTAACTTTGTGTCAATGTCTACTGTTTAGCCCCTTTAAAAAGATTCCCGACAAGTGCGAGCCGAACTCACCCACCGAAGGTTCCGTACAAATTTGTAGGTATACATTATAAATAGTTTAGGAATCTAGTCTCGCAGTTTTTTTTTCCGAGCTTTTATCTAAAGCCAGTTTCCAAAACCTATAATTACTTACATCATTGTTTTATGAGTGAAATTGTTGAATTACTCAATCATACTTTAAATAAAGACTACGTACTTTAAATGAAGAAAGTATTTTTCATGATTTAATAAAAATGTATAATTTTCAGGTTTTTCCCTGTACTTGTTGTAAAAGACGATGTTTCATAGTTCTAGGTAAACGGGAAGTACCCTATGAATTTTGATACCTTTGAGAGTGTTGAAATATGCGTTTTTGCGGTATAAACCGCCGCATATTTTTTGTTAAGTTAACTTAAAAGTTGTTTTTTTTCTCACAAATTCAAGGGACTGTAAACCGGAGTATATAGTTTTAATTTCAAAGCAATACGCGTTGCCGAGATAAACGGTCTTGTCAGACGGACAAAAAGGTGATACTATAAGGGTGCTGTGGTTTCCTTTTTAGGTACGGAACCCTAAAAATAGAAGATTGAGCAAGATTGTCGAGGGAAAGACTCGTTTCGACACATATGAGCGGGCTGGACCGGAGTGAAACGATGGCCTCGTAGAAAAACGGAATTAAAAGCATACATGGTGAGTAGAACCAAGAACGTAATGTTAAAGTCTCACCGGTGAAGGTAATAAGAGATAACAGTAGCAATGGCTAGGGTTTCATTCGCTTCTAACATGGATCTCATTTCGACGAGTACTCTTGGGTCACTGTACAAAGTCTGTCATGTGAGGTAACTAACTATATGTATACAAACCAACACTTTCTCATTAAAAACTAAAGTGAAGCAGTATTTTGCAAAACAACTTGCAGAATCAACTGACGTATGATTGACATCTATACAAATAAATAAAATTGGAGTGTCTGTTTGTAATATTAAAATAACCGCTTTTTACTAAATGCATATGTATGTTTACACAGTACATATGCCAAAATAACATTTTTTTCCATTTTTGTCTGTCTGTCTGTCTGTTTGTTCCGGGTAATCTCTGGAACGGCTGGACCGATTTCGACGGGACTTTCACTGGCAGATAGCTGATGACATAAGGAGTAACTTAGGCTACTTTTTTTAGACTAGCTTCGCCCCACGACGTTGCCCGCGGTTATAACAACAAACGCGGGTAACACCGCGGGTCTCAGCTAGTCTACTATTATTAATAGTAGACTATTTATTTGGGTAGGTATGTATTTATGTAAGTTTATATGTATTTAAGTATATGTATGTACGCATGTATAATGTGTATGAGTTCTAGTGTATGATAGGTTTATGCACGCGTATTTGATATTATAACTACAAAACAAACTTTAACCAAAATGCACCTACTTCCTGTTCTCTCTGCATCACCCAAAGGTTGACTGGTAGAGAATGCCTTAGGCATGAAGTCCGCCAATGCACCAAAAGTGCATGATGTATACATAAATCAACTCAAACTTTTTTTATTTCATTAAAAAAATG